AGACCTCAGCCCCTCTAGTCAGCAGGCACAGCACAATTTGGGAAGTCTGCTAGGTGGAGGTTGGATTCAGGTGATCTAAGGCAGTCTGCAAAAGTCTGGTCCCCTACTAAAGTTCAGGGAAACCTAACACTGCAGTAGCAGGAGGGGCTGTAGGTGGTTCCAGTATAGGAAGAAGAACAAGGCATGACTTGGAAACCTCACTACCTCACAGAGTTAAGATGACATTCCAGAGTTCTGGCATGCCAAGAACAAAAGTGGGCCTGTACCCAAGGCTAGAAGGAGAACACGATGTGGGGTCCAGATTGATGTTTTTCAGGTTGTAGGGGAGTAAAGGTGCTGTGGGTAGAATTAGATTTACCAGGGAAAAAGGTTGGCCTTGGGAATTCAAGGCAAATTGGAGTGGTGGACAGCCAGGATAGAAGGCTGGTCTCAGGTGTGCAAAGGCAAGGTGAGGATTTGGACATGCTGTAAAGTCTCTAAGAAACTAGATTGAATAACTGAGCTTGTCTGGGTCCTTGGGATCAGGACACAGTGGGCGATCTGGGTTAAGATGGAAGTCCAGAGATCTGGGGTGTTAAGAGTGGAAGCAGGCAGGTGCCCAAGGCTAGAACAGGATTTGTAGGCTGGGAGATTGAATTTGCTCAGGTTGTAGGAGTGAAGGTGCAGTGGGTGAGATCAGACTTACCAGGGAAGAAGTTTGGTCTCAGGAATCCCAGGCAGGTTGTGGGGACACCCAGGGTTGAAGGCTGCTGTCAGGATTTTAAAGGCAAGTTGGGGAGTGGGGACAGCCTAATGTGGCTCTAAGAAACTAGACTGAAGAATTGAGTTAGTCTTGGGTATCAGAACTTAGTGGGTGAGTCTGGACTAAGATGGCAGTCCAGAGAGCTGGGGTTCTAAGAGAAGAAGCAGGCCTGTGCCCAAGGCTAGAAGAGAATAGGATGTGGGGATGGGAGATTGAATGTACTCAGGTTGTGAGCGTCCAAAGCTACTGATATTTGTAAGTAGATTTTGTAACTTGCCACTTTACTGAATGCATTTTTTATGTGTATCAATGTATTGCTGGCATGTAGGAAGGTGCACCTCTGTTGTTCAATGTCTTCAGAGGTCAGAAGATGCCATCGAATCCCCTGGAACTAGAGTTACGGACAGTTGTTAGCTGCCATGTCTTGCGTTGAAATGTTGTTTATTTGTTCTCTTTCTGATTTTTTTAAATGTAGGCACTTATAGCTATGAACTTTTCTCTTAGACCTGCTTTCAAATTGTCCCAGAGGTTTTGCTGTGTTGTATTATCATTTTCACTTATTTCCAGGAATACTTTTAATTCTGTCTTAATTTCTTCTTTGACCTTCGCATCATTCAGGACTGTGTTGTTTAATCTCCATTAATTTGTGTAGTTATTAGAGTTTATTTGGTTGTTGAATATAAGCCTAATAGCACTGTGGTCTGATATAATGCATGGAATTATTTCAATTTTTGTATTTGTTGAGGTTGTTTTTTATCCCAGCATGTGGTCAATTTAGAGAAACTTGCATAGGCTGTTGAGTAGAAAGTGTATTCTTTGGTGCTGGGGTAGAATATTGCACGTATGTTAGGTCCATTTGATGTATTATGTCATTTAATTCAGATACCTGTTTATTTTTTTGGACAGGTGATCTGTTTATTGTAGATAATGGCATATCGAATTCACCTACTATTACTGTGTTGGGGTTGATCTGTTTTATAGTCCTGGAGTACTGTTTTTATGAAATTGGGTGCCCCAGAGTTTGGTGCATATATGTTCATGAGTGTGATATCTTCTCAATCAAGGCACAGTGGGCAGGACTTCAGACTTATGAAGGGAGAAGGCTGGTCTCAGGAATCCAAGGTAAGGTAGGGGTGGGGACAGTCAGGATAGAAGGTTGGTATTAGGAAGGCAAAGACAAGGTGGGAGTGTGGACAGCCTGTGCAGGGTCTAATGAACTGGAATGAAAAATTGAGCTGATCTGAGTGCCGGGGATCAGGATGCAATGGGTGGGTCTTAACTAAGACAGTTGTCTAGAGATCTGAGGCACAGAGAGCAAAAGTGGGTTTGTGCCCAAGGCTAGAAGGGAACAGTGTGTGGAATGTTGGAAACTGAAGTTTTTCAGGCTGTAGGGAAATCAAGGTGCAGCGGTCCTTAAACTCCTTTATAGTTAACTATTTTTAATAGTTTCTGATATTTAATATTTCACTTATTATGTTCCTAAATGATAAAACAAAGCTAATTTTGTTTGAATTAAGTTATAAATGATTATGTTATTTCCTTTCATTCATTATGGTACTCTGTTATTATTATTTGCTTACCTGGAACACCTACCTTACTCAGCTAGTTTTCATGTTTAAAATATTCAAGTGTTTTCACTCTTTGTGAAAATATAAATGTATTTTTCTAATTATTCACTATAATTTGGATAAAAAGCCCAGATTTCAAATTCCAATTTTATATATTAATTATATTATGTATTATATTTTATGTTATATTATATATATATGTATATTTATTTATTTATTGGGAGCTGACTATTCATGGCTGCCAGGTGCAGGCAGCCCAGCCCCAGGAGGGCAGCAAATGGAATATTGGCAAGGTTTGTCTTACCTGATCAGGGACTGAAACTGTATAGGTCCAGCTCTGATAATCAGTCTCCAAGTGAACGCCTTTCTCTTAGAAGTTCTGTTTGGGTGCTGCTTATACAACTTCATATGATAAATAGAACTCTTCATAGGTACATGTCTTTGTCTTAGAAGTTTGGTTTGGCTACGGCTGATACAAGTGCATGTGATTAATGAAACTGTGATTACTGAAACTGCACTGTTCAAAAGAACTTGTAGTTTTGTGCTATATATCTATAGTGAGATTTTCCTGCTTTGAGGCAATGTAAAAAAGCACTGCAATTCTGCAATAAAGTGCCTGTTTGGTCATCAGCCTACATGTCCTCTTGATCTCAGCTGTTTCTGTGACTTTTTCCTTCATCCCCTACCCTTCACACTCAGGTTTTAGGATCACCTGCAGCTGGATTGCAGCAGGTTATCTTACATCAATGACTACAAAATACCAATAAAATAAATGGTCAATGAGTAAAAAAATCCAAAACAGTTCACTTTGCATTCTTTGGTATCTTCTGACTTGAAATGGCAGATAAACTGAGAACTAATATTAACTTGAGATAATTTATTATCAATTTCCATGATTATCAAGTGAACATGCACCAGTACATACAGAAAATGAAAACAAAGAGAGAGATCAGTTGAGATTGACATTCCTTGTAAATTAGTTGTGTTTGTGTGAAAGGAACTGCTCAGTGCTCATCAGGGAAGGAGGCAACAATCCCTTGTGATTTGAATTCACACTTGAATGCAGAACCTCCTCAGAGACTGATCCTAGTGATAAACTGTGATAGTAGAGGACAGCTTAGCAGCTATAAAATCATAACAAACTTGACTTTCTTATTTTACAGTGAATTCTCATTTCAAGAGGTAAGATTTTTGAATTTTATTCATTAAAAGTATATCTGTTTTTTAAAGGGTGTCTGTATTTATAAACCATAATTGAGAAATAAGCCAGTAGGAATCATGCCATCAACCAGGTAATGAAAGTAAAAGACTGTTGTAGCCTGAACTTATATTTCCATAGTTAAATTCTTCTGAATAATCAGGAATAAAACCAAGTTTTCAAATATTCTTATTCATTCGTCCACCTAGAAGACAAAAACTCAATATAGGTTTTGAAAGCATATAAATTTAGCACTCAGTCAAAATTCTAATAAATTCACCAGTTTGAAGTGCATCGGTGGCTTAATGTCAGTGTATATATTGTGGAAAGGCATGCTTTGTTTTTTGACTGAATGTTTGAGCATAACAGGGTCCAGACACTTTGGACAACATGAGAATATGAAGCCAAATATTTCAGGAGATGACAGCCAACCTCCATCTAGCAGGTGAACTTCTTAAATTTTTAGGGGAATATTTATTCACCAGTGTACTCTGTTGAAAATAAGACTATTTAATTTCAACATACTTCGGTTAGAAAACACATTTAAGTTAAGAAAGGACTTGACATTTCTAACTAAATAAACACTAAAACTGTATTCTAAATATTATTCCCATGTCTACATGATAAATATATTGATATTTCAAACAGGCAATGGCTATTTAGATGTATTAAATATTTAATATATTTATAGTAGATACTTCTGCTTATAATGATATTGGTTATTTCTATTCTTCCCATTTCTAACAAGAAAATTATTTTTTTAAGTTGATTAAAACATGCTTAACTGATAGACTGTGTAAACAATGTCACTACTCAAGAACTTCTTTTACATATAAGTCATCAGAAAGCGGAAAGGCAGCCGTGCTATCCACTCCAATTTCCATGTGCTTTCAACTTCATTGTAATGCTTCATGTATGGTATAATTACTAGAAGGAATTGACTGTGGTCCATGTGCCTGTGTACATGTCTAATTTTACTACTTTCTATGGAAAATTAAGTTACATATTATTTTTAAATTAAATTTTCTCAACTGTAAATTGGAACTAACAAGTAATTTCATGGAAGTGAAAATAACATGACACATAAAATTTAAATCTCCAGCTAGTGATTTAGCAAGCATTCCCTGACAGTTATCAAATATTTAACTCTTCATTACATAATCCTATGTGCTGCACTTTTATTATTTGGTTACTTTCATGAGTCTCAGATTTTAAAATTCTTAGGTTTGAAGACAATAATGTATATTTTAGTACATAAAAATTTAAAAGAAAAGCCAAACATTAGATGAAGCTAATTTCTAGTGGGGGGGTGGAATTAGCACACTCATTGTGCACTAATGCACATTGAAAGTTCAGAGAAAAACCTAAATTTTACACAAAATTTTTCTTTCATGTTTTTTGTTAATGTATATTTTAATGAGAATGAGACTACCTGTTTATGAATTCCTTCATATCTTCATCAAAGCTTTTGGGGAAACAACTACATTATCCCATGGCTCTCCTGGCACATGGGAACCATACTGCAGTGACACAGTTCATTTTAGATGGCTTAACAGATGACCCAGTCCTTCAAATCCTTCTCTTCATCATTATCTTGTGCATCTACCTGGTGACCCTGTCTGGAAATCTCAGCACAATTCTGCTAATCAGAATCTCTCCTCAGCTCCACCGCCCCATGTACTTTTTTCTGAGTCACTTGGCTTCTACTGACATTGGTTATTCATCTTCAGTTACACCCAACATGCTTGTTAACTTCCTGATGGAGAGGAGTACCATCTCCTACCTTGGGTGTATCATCCAGCTTGACTCAGTTGCTTTCTTTGGGACAGTTGAATGCTGTCTTCTGGCTGTGATGGCTTATGATCGCTTTGTGGCAATTTGTAGCCCACTGCTTTATTCAACAAAAATGTCCACACAAGTCTGTGTTCAGTTGCTTATAGGAGCTTACATGAGTGGTTTTCTTATTCCTTCCTCCTGTACCCTTTCCTTTGTTTCTATTGTCTTCTGTGGATCAAACAGAGTCAATCACTTTTTCTGTGACTTTACTCCTTTAGTTGAACTCTCCTGTTCTGATGTCAGTGTCTTCACAGCTGTTACCACTTTTTCTTCTGGGACTACTATATTAATCACAGTTGTAGTCATAGCTGTCTCCTACACCTACATCCTCATCACCATCCTGAAGATGCGCTCCACTGAGGGCCGCCAGAAGGCCTTCTCCACCTGCACCTCCCACCTCACTGCAGTCACTCTGTTCTATGGAACCATCACATTCATTTATGTGATGCCCAAGTCCAGCTACTCCACTGACCAGAA